TCCGGAAACATTTACGAATCCGGAAAACTCTCCTCTATTGTAAACCTAGTCTTAGAGCCGGGGTGCACATTCGGAGTTATGTTAGCCCAATAGTGACCCCTTATTTCAGCCTTTTAAAAGTTCATGCGAACGTAAGGATTTTAAGAAAAACGAATTCTTGAAGTTTTGAGGTAGCTGAAAGACTATCGTTGGGAAACATTCAGAAAGTAATGAAATTCACGGAGGAAAGACAGCCAGAAAACTACGTGAGAAAGCTATTGAAGTATCATTGTATGATCCACCCATCAAACAGTTTTTTGACTCGTTCATTTATGACTCTAGATCTCGTGCATTGTCATCTCCCTCCAGCACAGTGGAAAAACAAAGAGCGGTCAATGTCATTTAGGTTACAAGGGGAAACATTGCGAAAAAGGTGAGTACAGTTATCAATTAAAATAAGTTCTAATTTGGTGCTTTCTCGCAATTAAAGTACTTCAAAACTGCAGTAAAAGGTAGAATTTTCGTTGCGAATGAAATCTTACCGTTGCTGTTCAGGGTTCATTCACATAAAATTACCCGTCAATAAAGGTTCGCTAGTTTAGAGGGAATTTAGTCGATCATCAAACGGGGTTATTCTTTTCAGTTTGGTGGGTTCCAAGCCGTGTAATTACATGATGTTTGAATCAGGACAATTGATTTGTTTCTATGCGCAATCGTGCCACTGTTTCTAGGACGGTGCCCACTGATATTTTTACACCATTGAAAACAAACCTTTGCTTCTTTTATTCCACTCACACGAAAAAGACAGTTATAACAGAGAGAAAAAAAACAAAATACATATATATATGCTAATTTTTTTTTTTTTAAAAGGTTTGAATAACAAAAGGAACAGAAACATTTGGACCAACCATAAGTTAAATTTATTTAACATTTCCTGTGAAATATGTTAGATTCAAATAACAACGGTCGAATCATAATATACATAATAACAACACTCCTACTTTTGATGTTGCTTATTTGACAGTCTTCATGCCTAGCTTAGTAACAAGTTTCTCAAAGTGATGCTTAGGCAAAGTTTTCGTAAGGATGTCAGCAATCATCTCGTCTGTACCAATGCATTTGAAAGCGATCGCTCCGCCTTGTACTCTTTCGCGAACGAAATGGTAACGTATATCGATGTGCTTGGTCCTGGCATGGCTCACGGGCTTCTTAGCCATCGAGATAGCTCCTTGGTTGTCTCCATACATTTTAGTTGGTCCCTCTGGAGGTTCCCCCATGTCTGCCAACAACCTTCGAAGCCAGATTGCTTCCTGAGTGGCCTTGCTGAGTGCTACATACTCTGTATCTGTTGTCGACAATGCGACGGTAGCCTGCTTTTTGCTTAGCCAACTTACTGCCCCAAGCACCAGTGAGAACCCGTTTCCTGAAGTGGAATGACGGTCATCCATAGCACCGGCCCAATGTTAATCTGAGTAACCAATCAAATTTCCATCAGCATATTTCTTGTAACTCAATCCAAGATATGCGGTTGCTTTCAGATATCTGAGGATTCGCTTTGTTGCTGTTAAATGATTTTGTGTCGGATTGGCCCAGAACTTCGACACAACTCCCACTGCTTGGGCGATGTCTGAACGTGTTGCGATTACAGCATAAAGTAGGCTACCTACAATCGATTGATACGAGGTCACATCAACGGGTCTGCTAAAACCATCATCCTTTTGCAGCTTGACTTTCAAAGCTGCAGGTGTAGACACTCGTTTGGCTTCTGTTTGCCCAAACTTCTCGAGCATCTTTGCGACGTAGTGCCCTTGATGAAGGAAGACTAGCTTGTTTTTGACATCTTGAACGATTTAGACTCCGACAGTAATGCAGCTCTCCAATATTTTTCATCTTAAACTGTAGCTTTAGACTGTGCTTGACACCTCTCATCTCCACCGTACTGTTTCTTGCTAGAATCATCAGATCGTCAACGTGAACTCCAATAATAGTTAATGCATCCTTTCTGATGAATACGTAGGGATCTGCAGAGGCTTGAATAAAACCAATCTTCTCAATGCACTCCCGAAAAACTTTGTTCCATCAACAGGAAGACTGCGTTAACCCAAACAGCAACTTCTCTAGCTTGCATGCCAGATGCTCCTCCCCAGGTTTTATGTATCCTTCGGGCTGCTGCACGTAAATTTCTTCATCAAGTTTATCGTTGAGAAAAGCTGTTTCTTCGTCCATCTGGTGAATCAGCAAATCATTCTGAACTGCAAACGCTAGCAAACAACATATTGAAGAGAAACGAACTACAGGGGAAAAGGTTTCATCATAGTCAATACCATATTTCTGGGTGTAACCTTTGGCCACTGGGCGTGCTTTGAATCGTTCCACTGTACCATCGCAGGAGTGTTTCAGTTTAGACTGACCCATTTGCACCTAACAGCTTTCCGACCTGGAGGTAATTTAACCAACCTCCACGTCTTGTTTTCAATCTGCGAATTGTATTCTGAAGCCGTCGCGACTTTCCACTCTGCAGCTTGATTAACTGATCTTGCTTCTTGTATAGTTGTAGGTTCATCAATCCCAGAAAGATGATAGACGACATGCTGTACGCGGTGAGTTGCCGTGTCTGCGTATTCCTCATAGCCATATCTGACTGGTGGACTTTTCTTGTTCTTACGGACCGTCGAGGTTCCCCTGCCGAGTCTTCTTCTAAATTCTTCATTTCTTCTTGTTCTCCTTCATCTTTTCTAGGGATTACTTCGGTTTGCTCTGCTTCCTCGCACCTTGGGTCTGGCTCTGTTGCCATGGCTCGCTTCAGGCCGAAATCGTTTTCATTTAACTCCACATCTCTTCGGAGATACATCTTTCGGTTCTTTGAATAACAAAAGCAAAAGATACGTATGATGCACGATCCTCGCAGTAGATAGCGCTATTTATGCAATAGCGAAATTCAGACCTGAAAAAAATCAGGTCTGATTTTCAGGTCTGATTTTCGCTATTGCATAAATAGCGCTAACTACAGCGAGTATCGTGCATCCTACGTATCTAATACCGCAGTTCAAAATATATGAACTTCATATATTCATTGTATCTGATTTATCACTTTCACGGGTTTATTACGAATCAACTTAACGGCCTGCTCCCAGTTGGCTTGTTAACTCAATTGGTAGAGCGCTGCCCTAGTATCGCAGAGGTCAGTGGTTCGAATCCCGTACAGGCCTGATTTTTTTCAGGTCTGATTTTCGCTATTGCATAAATAGCGCTACCTACCGCGAGGATCGTGCATCATACGTATCTAATACCGCAGTTCAAAATATATGAACTTCATATATTCATTGTATCTAAAAGAAAAAGAATTACCTGGACTAATCATAAGTTAACAATTGAGCATTTGTTGAGATTGCACTAGTACTACGCGGCATGGGAAAGTAGGGGGAAATTGTCCCTCACGCGAGACAATCGTGCCACACCGGTGTCGATGTGTTTACTTACAGGGGAGGTGTTAGGAAAGCTCGAACAAAGTGTGACGACGAAATAACTAAAAAACGTATGTTGACCCCTATTTCTAATGACACCGAAAAAAAGGAAGAAGTATAAGGCAAACAATGTTTTTCCAGTATTTTTGGCTGCGTACGCGAGAGTAACCAAGGCTAAAAATGGCCTCAATGCAGTCATTTTGAGAACAAAATCTTACCGTTACCTTGTCCTGAGGATGGTATTTTCCGTTTTTTTTTTCCTGTTTTTAAAGATTTTTATCCCATTGAGTTCGTTTTAAAAAAAATCAAATTTAAAAGGAATTGACGGTGAGATTTTATTTTCCTTCACCTTTTGAAAAAAAGCAACATCAGCACTTTTTTCAGATTTCAAACCCAATTATCTCGGAATTTTGCGTGGCTAGCCCCATATTTTTATGGGGATTTTGATAGCCCTTGATAACATAACATAGCATGGCATAACGTATTTAAATATTCAAGATAAAAAAAGTACTAAAAAAAATCTTGAAAAGGAAAACTGGAGGTTGAGCCTATGATGATGATGTTTCCCCAAATAAAAGATAAAAACAGCGTAAGATATGTACAATAAAAAAGATTAAAGAACTATTCAAGAGATAAATTGGATAACTAACAATCTATAGTAACAATTGATAAAAATAGACAAGCAGCTAATGGATATTTGAAAAGCGCTTCAGCTTCACCTTGTTTTAGAAAATCTACGAATACAGATAAGGCTTTTAGTTATACAGCCAAAACGAATACGAAAGTAAAAGAGCGAAAAATATGTGAGGTAATAGGTAATAAATAAAGATAAGAAACTTAGAGATCACGAAAGTTTAAGAAATTAATGGTACCCGGTAGAAAGCTATGGAGTAATTTTTTTTATCCATAGCTTTTATTTTTTTATTTGTTTTATTTTTTATATGTTTTATTTTTTTTATATGTTTTATTTTTTTATTTATATATAGATGTGTTTGAGGGTCAGTTTCCGTTTGTCTTTGAATGATTTTAGAGGAAGTAGTTTCAGGTTCTTATCTAGATCATTCTAAACAGGAGCAACATGAAGCTAACTGCGATTTTTGAATTTTCTATAATTTACCTCCAACATAACTGATACAATTGGCATATCTATCAAAAACTCTAGTTTTACCAAGGGTATACACTAGAAGGATCCAAATAACTCAGTGAAAACCTTTTTTAAAGGTTTTTACTTGGTATCAGCGTTTTGCGATACAATTCCATATGTTAGAACCGTTGAATTCAGAATTTCGTCCTCTACCAGTCTGCATCCATCGCCACGAGTTCGCCCCATCAGATAAAACATACAAACTCGCCACCAAATCTGCAAATCGCTTCCCTACGGTAGAAAAGGTTTCTTTTTCGACGCAATAAGAATAAATTTAATCGAAACGTAACTTTATTGTTCTGATTCAAACGCTTGACACAGCCTGCTGGGTTGCTTACAAACGCCGCCCTCTGCCTGATAAAACGTCGTTCATGGATAATTTGTTATTAATATTTGTTGGCTGCATTTTAAGGAGTCATTTTGTTCATCTTATTACAGTAGGAAAAGTTTTATTGTCCTTATCGAACTTATCGAAATGGTAGGGAGATAACCTAAATCAAACCATTTTTCGAGAGGATTCTGGAGGTTCTAGGAGCTAAGTAGAACTGAATCTACGAATTACTAGGTATCTCAAAAAAAAATGTTTGATCTGAAGTTATATTAAGTTTACTGATTTACTGAAAGTACTTGGATCGTGCCTGTGTCATTTACTGATTAACATTACCGTTTACCTAAAATCGCCATGCTTTAAATTTATCTTTTTCATTTATATTATCATTGTTCATAAGCACAACATATCGACATTCCTATCCTGGCAGTATACAAAAAGGTTGTCACTATAGACCTAGTTAGACAACCTAGCCCGACTTAAGTCACTCAGTGGTAGCATCCGCAGTGCTCATCGGAAGGTCGTAGGGTTCCACTCCTTTTAGGAGCACTTGGAGTTCTTTTTCTTCTAGCATGCCTGTGTCATTTAATGATTACCATCAATGTTCGCCCACAGGTTTACTGGTTTCACATGAATCTCTTTCGCGCTTTTTTTCTTGCAGTCGTCGGAAGTGGGTGCCCACCAGGCAAAAAGACAGACAATCAGCAGGGCGCTTGCTGTGTCTTCCCTTTCACCTATATGGGGAAGACCTTCCACTCTTGTACCAAATACAATTGGCACACGTTGTGGTGTGCACTTACTGCTACTTACAATGGAACTTGGGCTAACTGTGGTGAGGAGGAATATGTCAAATTGACAGATTTTTCATTTAAGCCCTTTCCAATTGAGTGTCGTAAACCCAAATTTAAAGTCAGCACATCCACCGATCAGAATAAAGAAAAATAAATTTTAGAATCGCATCATTGAATAAAATCTCGCATTCTGATTGGTTAACGAAGCAAGGTACTTAGCGTGAAATTACGAGTTGAAACGAGGTTAAGTGATATTGTCTCGCACCCACGTATACATAACAACCATAAGTAATGCTGTTTTCTCATTTTTATTCAATTATGCGAGTCAAGGAAAACTCATTACTTGACTCGTGAATTCTGCTTCGCGATTTGTACGACATCGGTTTTGGCGTGCAAGTTGATGCGGAATTCCATCGTCAAGTAATGAATTTTCCTATAGAACCAATGAGAACTCAACGTAAAACTGCTAAGTGGAGGAAAATTGCTCTAAGTACAGTCAGAGCAACATAAAGCTCGCACCGGGTGACCCAGATAAAGAAATGGAACTCAAGCAAGGGATGCCCGCCTTCAAACGAAAACCTAGCCATCAGGTTCTTGCAGCCCCTCCTAAGCCTCCTGCTCTGAAGTTTCAACCACCTTCCAACCCCAGGGTGTTCACCTGAGCTCTGGCAGGGCGTGAATCTGAGTATCAGTCTTCTAACACTGCGGGCGTTATATGTTTTATTTTAGCCCTGACGTTCCAATCTTCCCCGAGTATTTATTTTTTGGTTTTGCCTTTTGCCAAATTAATCAAGTTACTCTAAGTTCTATTTTTAATTATTTTTTGCGATCCTTTCAGTTTCTTAGAGGATGAATAAAGAAATACAACAATACATGACCATGATGGATTGACATAAATAGATGCGACCAACATTGCACAGAAAGTATGGTTTAGATAGCGGCTTAAACTCCTCTGATAGTTATGTATTTAGTTTACTGGATTCGTGCAATAAAGGCTGAATTTTCAGTTTATTTGAAGAAACATTTGCCGGTGTAACGGACGCAGGAATTTTTCTAATAATTTGATTAGATGATGAATAGAAAAGTTAACTCTTATTTATCCCAATCATAATCCAGATTGTACAGTCCTAAATCCATCTTTCAAAATTGACTGCGGCCTTTTTGGTGTGACTAAAAAGAAATCAAAAGACTATTACTCTCTTTTTGTCAGTAAAAAGGCTTGCTTTTCAAATAACACGAGAAAACTGAAGTTTTATGCCATTCAATTTCTTTCTCGAAAGATTTTGAATTATATTAATTATCTTTCACAAAACAGCAGATACATCTTAATTTGAAGGATATATTAATCGGTCTTTTAACACCAGAACTTCCCTTACTTAACTATCTGTTACTTACAGGAAAAATTTATCTATGGGCGTGTAGAAGGAATAAAGAACTCCCAAGTATACGAGGTTTTCAATCAAAAGTCAAATTAAAGTATGAAACTGAAAAATATATCTGTACAAAAAAGAATAATTTAGATATGTTTAGGAAGAAGTGGGCAATGTAAAACCTAGAGGTAGTTGAATAATTTAGAATATGTCGGGCTGAAACGGGTGACTTTGCTATGTCAACTTGTTCGTGAGTGTGTGTACGTGAGTGAGTATGAATTAGTTGTGTTATACCGTAGGTCCTGTTTATTATGTTTAGTGCAGTAGTTAAGTATTGTAATGAAAGTTGTGTAAATAGTTGTGTGCAATGTAATTAAAAAAAAGTTATGTATTTAGTTTACTGGATACGTGTAATGAAAGCTGAATTTTCAGTTTATTTGAAGAAAGATTTGTCAATAGACTTAAACTTTGCCGATGTAACTGACGCGGGAATTTTTCTAATAATTTGATTAGATGACCGATAGAGAAGTTACCTCTTATTTATCCCAACTATGGCAGCATTTGGCTTGAAGTTGTAATAAGAAAACTTCTTTCAAACCCACAAGATAATATACATATTATGGCTTAACTTAGACTTCTGATTGGTCAAAAAAGTCTATTGTTTATTTGCCTGTATACCCAAAGAAAACCGAAACATCTTCATAGCGCCACATGGGGCGAATTCCTCTTTTATTTTTAACGTTATCGAATTTGATATCTAAAATGCAGTCAAACTATGTGGTTTCTTCCGCGTTCTAAGCCTTTTTTTTTCTCTACGCGGATTACATTAAAGAACCACAAAAATTCTTGACTAGAATCCCCCAAACTGCCCGCCGAGAAGGACAAGTTGGCATGTTTTTGTTTCAAGAATATTCTAGCGACAAAGTGACTGGATTTTCATTAACTAAGAGATAATTACTTGTGCCTTTATCTTGCATATCGCCACTTGTCGTCAGTTTTCTTTGCAATTTCTGCTCAGTTTTTCTGTGCCAAGGAAAGTAAAGTTCATCATTCATAGATGTACATAACTTAGTAATAATAATAATAATAATAATAATAATAATAATAATACAGTATTTGTAGTGCGCAAATTCCATGTGGATATGCTCAAATGCGCATTACAGGAGTTAAGAACTAACCCTAAATCAAATAACATATGGAGGTAAAATTTAGGAAATCATATAACTATTTAAATCGTTAAAAACCAAGAGAACTGTAATAAATAGGTTAAGATCACAATACACAAAATAATTAATATTTAGCAGACTATGAAAACGCATCACGAAATAAATGTGTCTTAAGTTTAGACTTGAAGCCAGCAACACTGCTTTTAGACCTAATCTCCAGAGGAAGCATGTTCCAAAGTTTCGCCGCATATGTGAAGTAACCTTAGATAACTTTCTAGGGCAACTAAGGAGGAGGTTATCACGAGAGCTCCTAAGATTATACCGTGAAGGTGACTTAATACAGATTAAAGAGGCTAGATATGTAGGTGCTAAACCATTAAGAGCCTTAAATTTAATTTAAAAATTTTAAAACAATTCGAAATTTAACTGGTGTAAGTTAAGAAGTAAGGTGTAATATGGCAGTATCTACTCTGCTGACAAACCAGTCAAGCAGCAGCATTCTGTATTCTTTGAAGCCTATTTAACGGATAGTCAGGAATACCATACAAGATAATGTTACAAAAGTCAATCCTAGATGACACAAATACATGTACAAGAGTCTCAGTGCACCGTCTAGAGAGGTACTTCCGTAAACACCGAATATTATAGAGATAATAAAAACAAGAACCAGACAATTTCGTTATGTGGGTAGCCATTGACAATTTTGTGTCAAACCAAGAGCCGAGGTTTCTAGCAGAGGAGACTGCTGTGACGTTGCAATCACCCACTCGTATACAATGAGTATTAACTTTAGCAAACTGCCGAGGTGTTCCTATAACCAAAGATTCAGACTTATCATCATTTAGCTTAAGACTGTCGGTTAACATCCACGACCGAATATCATCAACACAGGACTCCAAAGCACTTAAAAGGCGGAAAGCTCATCAATAGCGTCATTGGGGCAAAAAGAAATATATAATTGAGTACCGTCTGCAAAACAGTGAACGTCAGGTAAATGCGACTGAACAATCCGAAACAATCTACTAGTGCAGAGCGTGACTAAAAGAGGATCCAGACAAGATCCCTGCGGATCACCACAATCCAAGTTGAATCTTCTTGAAAGTGCACTGTGCACCGAAATGCACTGAGAACGACCAGAGAGGTAAGATTGAAACCATGAAAGGACCTTGCCTTGGATACCAAAGGAGTATTCCAATCGTTGTAGCAGCGTGCCGTAATCCACAGTATCGAAAGCAGCACTCAGATCAAGGAGAAGAAGTAAAGTCACACGTTGTTTATCCACATTAAGCAGAATATCGTTCACGACCTTCAACAGAGAGGTTTCAGCACTGTGGTGAAGGCGGTACGCCGATTGATACACTGGAAGCAGATTATTCGAAGACAAATGCTTGTGACGCCATTATCAAGGGTACAAATGAAAATAAAATTAACAAATGCGAGTTCAAGAGTTACAACTAATTTGCATAGGGGAGGTAGCTACACAAATACTTTAGCACGGATAGAATCCGTTTGCACGTTCAAACTCGGTGTTAATTGTTTGATGTAAAGCATCTCGTTGACAAGACAATCGAATTTGTTCATGCACTTCTTGAGAACTTTGAAACAGCTAAGAAGGTCCTCAGGGACAGCACCTGCGTGGTCGTTGTCGTAGTGCTTGCGTACTGAAGATGACGTGCTCTTATGGCTATCCACGCGGGCATATAAATGCCCACGTGTGTAACCAACATAGCTCCCTGTATCGCACAGGTTACATTTAAATTGGTACACTACGCACTGTTGATTAACCAGCTGTGGTTTGGTTTCACATTCTTTAAGGTCTTGGCCAATTTTCCGACTGACAAATACGGGCTGGATTGTGGTTTGGAGCTTAATGCTAAGGTCTTTCAACTGTGTCTTAACAATGTTAGCGGAGTCTTGGTCCTTGAAGGGTATGACTACTCGGGTTACATCATTTTTCGCCAATCTTCCCAACGCCTGCAATGGCTGCTGGTCAGCAATTCTCGAGTTAATAAAGGTGTTAATGGCGGAGTTGATAAGGTGGTGAGGGTAGTCCAAACGTGAGAATAAATACTTCACGCGATTTCTCAGGGAACGAAAAAGAGTCAAATTCGTGGGTGTTTTCGAAGCTCGCAAACATCTTTCAGCCTTCCGTTTTTGCCGCTTTGCATACCTAATTTCATCAGTCATACATGGAGCAGAGGGTCGAGCGCGAATTTTGTTTTTTCTTGACAGGAGCATGACGATCCAACAATGCTTGCAAGATGTTAAGCGAAAGCTAAGTTTCAGTTATAGCAAACATGTCCATTTTACGTTCACAGACGTAGTCAAAGAAGAGAGCAGATTTATTCTTGAGCGAACGAGCATTCAAATTACATTGGTCAACTGGACTTGAATTGGCATGGCCGTAGATGAAACGCATCTGATCTCAGTGAGGTTCGAAATGTTTCGACAACGATAAGCATTAGATAAACGACATCACCGGCAATCACTGACTCTTGAAGGAATAAACTGAAAATCATCAGGATCAGGATTGACATTGATGTCACCACTGACAACCAAACGGGTGAGATTAAAGGTAGAAATCGAATTTGGATAACGAATGATTGACAACAGGAAAAAAGCACGACGTCGTGCACGCCTAAATCCAAGATCATGGGTGATTGTGAGTCCGATTCATCAGCAATGGGTTAACGATTTGCACTGCCAAAAATAGGAAGGCCAAATCTTCGAGAAATCAAAACGTCAGATTAATCCAATCGACTAGTATTCAGCAAGCCATAAGAACTAAAATCCATAAGAAAAATAAGAAATAGAGCAAAACAGCGGAGCCGGTAAAAACGTGACCGACCGCCCTACTTAATTATGCTCTTATCTCCACTGCTTCTAAGTCACATACCCGAAAAAGTAACAGAGCCGTGCGATGAGAAGGGTAGGACGGATTCTTTTCCGAACCGGCTTACGTTAACCTGTCCGGCCCCACACACGTCAACCTTAGGACGAGGCTGACTTAGCATTTCCGACTTTGCATAGCTCTTAAGGATTACCGAACCCATCGTGTCAGAGCAGAATCTTTTTCTTTCAGTTTTGCTAACTATTTTTATGATGAACGAATGCCTTGCAGGCAAATCTCAGTGTAAATGAGACCAATAAAAAGGGAATCTGCTGCATCCCACCTGCGTTCTCAGAGTCAGCCACGTAATCAACTGATAATATGATGGATTAACAATACAGAAAGGGTGTTGTACCATCTGTCAAAGTATCAATTCCTAATAGTCATTTCCAATAAGTTCAGCCCATATCTTGGTTTAGCCTAGTAGAAACCCAGAGCCACCTGCAGACGAGACACAGAGCCGCTAATATCAATTATCAATTATGCCTCTTGTGTAGACAACAGGGTTGGCCTGAGGAATTATGCATGTTATCTGTTGGATAAATTATTAATGATAGGGCACGCATTTTCATCAGTTGAGAAATCTGTTTACACCAGGGTATACAAACTCAAAACGTTCAGATTCGGCAAGCATTTTGTCAAAAAATCTTAAGTTAGCAACTTAAGACTTGTTAGAGTTTAGCACATAGCCTCCTATTAGCGCTCTGGATGTTGAGAAAATCTCATAAGTTGTATAAACATCCAATGCGTCTTGAATTCAAATAACCTGTCAGTAAGTCTGCCCAAACCTACTCAAAATTAATTAAAGCTATATAAACACAGAAAAAGCATTCATACAACCTTTTCCTTTTGAGAAGCACCATTGACTTTTTAAAATCGCATTAATAAAAAATGAGGCGTGTCGGGTATCTACGACAAATCCGAGGCAAATAGTCAGAAATTCGAAAGAGAAACAAGCGAATATTTTCTTATGGCTGTTTTGTCTCCAAAGAAGTTTGCTATCATTACAATTCTTCCAATTTTTCTGGAAATTGGATTTTCTACAGCAAACAAAGACATTTGCGGAAGCATATTTGAAACTCAAGTTGGTAAGTATGATTAAAAACACGTCATTTTTTTTAATTTGTTCTTCCTTTTTACTTTCGAAAGATTTTTTTCGTTGCATTTTAGATCGTGTTTTAACTGGACACATCTTGAGTACCACTATTGTTTTTCACGACTTTGAATGCCAACTGCAATGCCTCGGAAGTTATAACAACAGGTGCAAGTCGTTCAATGTCCAAACAGGAAAGAACACGAAAAACCGCACATGTGAGCTGAACAACAGCACACGACGGCTGAATCCAAATTATTTCAAACGGAAGAAAGGATCTATATACTATGGCTCCATACAGGTTGGTTTGCCTGTTTGCATTTGAGCCTTTTCAGCGTTATAAGTTATAGCGGAGCTCCCACGCGCGTGGGGCAGGGCACGTGCCCTCTGTCGTGTATATTATTACGAAAATATACTATATGATCAAATTTGAAAATATGGCGTCGGTGCGGCCGACCCTCAAAATTTTCGGGTCGGATTTTTCGTTCATTCGCGATCGAGTTAGACCTTGTGGAACTCAGAATGTAACGTAACAATGCTATAGAATACTCTGCTTGGAAAATAATGGATATCAAGGTCTTAAAGATGACAGAATAAGCTCTCGAGTCAACGACACTACGATTCTCTAAGGCGATGCGAATTATGGACGTAAATTGAAAACCGAACTTTCGAACTTCAAACAGGGCCTAGGGACAATTTGACGGTTCGATAGCCCGGTAAATATTATGTTCAAGTAACAATGTGTTCAAAAAGTATTGTTTAATAGAAGATTTTGCGTCAAATCGAAGTTTTAACTTAATTTTCAACATAACGCTGCGCAATTTCTGGCCTTGAAGGCAAATAAACAACGATCTAAGCATGATGAATTTTACCGCGTGGGCTATGTACACGTAAGAAATTCGTTCGTTTTTCGTTTATTGAAAGTCTGTGCATGAAGGGAAAGTAGAACC